TGTGTGTGTGTGTGTGTGTGTGTGTGTGTGTGTGTGTGTGTGTGTGTGTGTGTGTGTAAAAATAAAAATAGTTAATTAAATGAGACAGTTTCAGTAGGTGGTACTCAAGAAAATGCATAATTGTTTCTGGCTTCTGTAGAACTAATAAAACTTCTTGTGCATTGCAAATAGCAAATTCAGTGGAACTACACTCATTTATACCAGCTGAGGATCTGGTCCATAAGGTGCAGTGAAACCGGAGAAGTTAGAAGGAAGTTTTACTGTCCAAAGCCTATTGGGACCAAGACTCCAGCTTGACATGATTCCAATAGATGTATGTACATTCCTAACTGTGAACAAATCTCAAGTGATCTTGCAAAGCATCCTGCATATAAGCTCTTCATACCAAAGCATGGGGTAGCTAGGCATTCCTCAAAAGCAGAGCTATCTCTGGTACACATGGAATGAAAAGCAACAACAGGGGCAAATTAACAGTAGGGAAACGAGCTTTGTCATGCTTTAAAATCCTGGAAGGGCAGGTGGGAGCACAATGCAATTCAGATCTGGATACAGGCGGTTAGATCTGTCAAACAGAAGAAAAGTCACCCTGACTCCATATGGATAGCACTCTGATAGCAGGGTTCCCTTTGTTAAACCAGAGCAATATGTTCGATACAGATGCGGAGGTGGGAGTTCTATTTGTTAAATGGATCTTAGTCCATCATTGCTCATGGGTGTTGTGTTTTTAGGGTACTATACTCAAAGAGCAAATGTATCTTTTTATTGCAAGTTGCATGCCAAAGAGTTACACTGGTGGAAGTGCTCAAATTAAGCCTGCTCTTTGGGTCCTTCCCATGCTGAAGCATTACAGACCTTGGTCATGTTTAATGTTTTAGTAGTATGGCATGTTCTGGTGCAAGGGCCCAGGCTGTTTGCACAAGAGAAACAGCAAAAGTAACCACACCATGTACAAAGAAAAACCCGATATAGGGGTTCTTCTTCCCATAACTGCACTGAAACTATCCTAGAGAGATGGATGTTTGCCCTGTTCTTGTAGCCAGGTTGGTCCGAGGCTGTGAGAGAGACAAGGGAGGTCGGATAATATCTTTTATTGGACCAACTTCTGTTGGTAGAAGGCACAAGCTTTCGACCTTCACAGACCTCTTCCTCAGTCTGGAGAAAGTTACTGGGGTCTCCAAGCTAATTACAAGGTGGGACATGTTAAGCATAAGGGGTTCACGCATGTTGTAGGAAATCACTTAAAATCAAGTGGGCAGTTAAGCATTAGTAGGCAGTATGTACGCTGAGTTATAAATTGTTGTAAATGAGCCAGAGAATCCATGTCTCTGTTAAGTCCTTTTTTTTTTTTGTTAGTGTCCAGCAGAGTTATGAATTTAATTCCCAGGCTTGCCTTTTTGAAGGTGTTGTGCAGGTTTCCTTTGAGGAGGAGAACTGACAGGTCAGATATGGATATATCTTTTATCTTTTTTCTGTATGAGTTCTTTTGAGAGTGTAGTGATTGCCTGGTTTCTCATAGTTGTTTGTTGGGGCATTTGATGCACTGGCTGAGATACACCACATGCTGTGATAGGCATGTGTAGGACCCCTGGATCTTGAAAGGTGTATGGTTGCATATTTATCATTGTAGCAGTGGAGATATGTCTGCAAGTTTTGCATCTGTAGTTCTGGAGAGATGGTATAAATTAGTGCCCCCGGGGTATGATGAGACCATAGCTGTCATGGCTGTCTCATTCACATATTCATCTCCCCAGATGGTGTACATCTGTGCAATGCCCTTAATTGTTCTTTGGGAAATCACCGCTGGTGCAAAAGCCACTATCCTTGCTCCTTTCATGTTACTATTTGGAGTCAGTAGCCTCTCCTCCCTTAGCTCTTCACAGGACAGATTTATAGTCTCTTTTCTTTTACAAATAAAACCCCAAGTGCAAAAACAAAGAAGGAATAATGCAGCACAGACATGTCTGCTGCAACATTCTCTATAATTACTATCATTAACATATGTCTGGGAGGGAGAGCCAGAGAGATTGTTAATATATCTTCAGAAGGGGAGAAAAGATGGTCCAGTGGTTGGGGAGCTGCTATAGGACTGGGGAGACTGGTGCTCAATTCCCTGCTCTACCCAAGACCCTTGTGACCTTGGACAAGTCACTTAGCCTCTCTGTGCCACTGTTCCCCCTCTGTACAATGGGAATAATAGTACTTCCCTTTCTCAGAGGGATTTTGAGGAAAAATGCATTGCAGATTGCAAGGCTCATATACCGCAGTAACGGTAGTGGGGGGTCATATAAGCACCTAAGATGAATAGATGTTGATGAAATCATCCTTAGTGCTCCTATAGTGCCATGTAAAATATGGATGGGAAGAAGAGAATGCTTATGAGGGAACATACATGTATCTGTTATGATTAGCTCTTGCCATTATGGACAGAAATGCTACCACCTTACTCAGCCTATAGTATCTGGTGCCTGTGTTTCTCACAAGTAGTAATTAGTACACTTGCAGACAAGTTTTACTAGAACTGACACTGCAGAGTCAGTACACCTGAGTGAGTGGGATTCTGTTCTCCTGGTGCATGATCAGCAAAATTGCCAGCTAAGTTCTGGTATCAGACTCCTTGTTACTGGTGAGAATTGCAGTGGTAGAAATAACAGCTGGATTTCTCAGATTCCCAAGTTGGTTTTGCAGAGCTGGCAGCTTGAAAAGCCATCTCCGTGAGCAAGCTTTGCACATGGGATCTGGAAGCTATTGAGTGAGAATAAATATGGAACCACCCCCTAATGCCTCTTTGATTTTTGTCTGATGCTAAGTGCGCTTTAAGAGATTCCTGCGTGGTAACTAAGCTTGGTGGGAAGAAGCCACCAGTGTGTGTAACGCATGTGGGTCAAGGGTTATGATTACTTAATCTTCATAAAATATTAATTCCAAGATGCACCTGTGCCAAAGCCTTTATTTTAGTAGATGCTTTCATAGCTACGGCACGTGTTCAACAGGCGGGCAAGCACCTATTATATCCATAAAAATACCTGCAGGAGGGGAAGGTAAGGGGGAACTGCGAAGAGATGTAACCAAGTTCAAAGAAAGGATGGAGAGGGACTACCTGCTCACCAGCACCTGGAAGTTATGGCAAAATGGGATGACTCAAGGGGAGTATCTGGGAGCCAGCCTAACCACTGTGGGAGGGGGAAAGCTTTCCTTATCTTTCTCTTCTCAGTGAGGTGCTATTGGTTCACTTTCAGCTCCTGCCGTTTGGCCTCTTTTAGTTCTCTGGGTCCCTCTCCCAAGAGAAGGGTGGATCAACCCTGTGTGTATGCTTTGAATGTTATCTAGTAATAATAAATTGTGCTGCTGCCCCTGATGTCACCTTTCAAGTGGTTGGAGATTTCTGAGATCTTGCAGGTCAGCTTCCCTACGGAGGCTAAAGCAGTGACACAGAGTCGGGTTATAGTCTGAGTGTAACTTGCTTTATTTACACACGTGCACCGGTCCTGACTTGAGATGGTCAAACACCATACAGGCAACCCCTTCTTCCAGATATCTTTGCCCAACTCCAATGCCTGCTCTGCTTCAGGAATTGACTCTAATCAGAGCCCCAGTTTCAGTCTCCTGCTGCTCACACAGCTCCCTCTCACCCAAAGCTGCCTCTATGCAAAAACTCCGTACATAACCAGAACAGCTAACAGCACAGCACGCCTGCCCGTGAGTCAACACTTGCTTGCATGCTAAGAGAGAATCTAGAAGACTACATGGTATGGTGACACCTGCCCTAGCAGGACTTTTTGTGACACCTTTCATCCCAGCAACTCAAAGTGCTTTGCACACATGAACTTAGCCTCACAACACCACCATGAAGAAGTTACATATTATTATCCTCATCAGCTAGTTCAATTAATGCTGCTGGGCCTGCAGTGACTTGGGGCGGTCATGGGAGTCCTGCCATTGCTATTGTGAGGTTTACTGCTTGTGTTGCATTGCTGGGTGCTGTTGAACATGAGCTGCTGTTGTTGGTGGAGAGCTGTCTGGGGATAAGAATTTGAGCCCGCTGAGGAATCTGATCATGTTTCCTTGTCACAGCACTGACTGGGTCGCAGTCCAAGTTCCCCTGTTATAATGCGAGGCACATGTCAATAACACATTTGCTCATTGCGGTTTTGTTTTAATTCCACTGTGTAATCATGGAGGGGCATGGAATTTATGGGGGTTATGACATTTCTGGACTGGATAAAAGCATTGAGCCTTTGGACTCGTGCCTTTCTAACATCACCTGCACTCTGCTAGGATTGCCCAGAAATGCCCTACCGTACCGTACAGACCGAGTTAAAGTGAGTCCGGTGCTCAGGAAAGGTGTCCGGTTGACAGCTGTGGAGAGTGAAGGCTTCTATCCACAAAACAGGTACAGGCCGGGCAGTGACAACACAAGATTCCCCACACTGGCCCATCAATACGCCCTGCCCCTGACATGGAGGGGGACCACCTCCAACAGTGAGAGAGTAGTTCAGCTTCCATGCTTGTTGAAATGCTTGGCCTCTTTGCTGATACTGCCAATAAGCGGGCCACTTAGACCTTAGAGTCATAGATTCCCAGGCTAGAAGGGACCACTGTGATCCTCTAGCCTGACCTCCTGTACAACACAGGTTACCAAACATCCCTAAAATGATCCCTAGAGCTTTTCCTTGAAAAGTTGTAATACAACAGTGATTTTCTCCCCCTCTCCCCATCATTAACTGTGACCTCCCTCCCAGCCACTTTCTCCATTCCCCAATGGATCAATCCTCTTCCAGCTGTCCTATCTTAACAGTGGAGACTAAATCAACCTTGCTATCACCTGACTCCTTTGAGGATACAAATAATTAGCATCGGTGGCAAGGGCTTACCAGTGCTTATGAAAAGGAAAACATCACCTGAATTTAGCCACCAGCTCTGCAGGGAAGTCTCGTTTTCATATTACTCTGAGACACACACAGGAAGGGTGCTGCGCTCAGTAAAAACGTTACTGCATGGCGGTTTAAAAACCCAGCAGTTCTGGGTGAGTGTATACAGCCCTCTATTCCTGCTCAGAATCCACAGTACTAAAAATACAAGCTGCATGACACTTTCACTACTGCAAGCCTTTAAGAACTCTCGAGGGAAAACATCACACCAAATTAATCTGCCGTCGAGTGGAAATTCTATATTATTTGCATTTGCCAATGCGCTGCATGGGGCTGTAATTGCATCGAAGTAAATATCTCCTTCCAGTTGTTTATGAGATATAATGTGGTCAATTGGACGTAAAAGGGAAATCTGAATACAGAGCTGCTGCATTGGATTTGGTAGGTGCATTGTTCGATTTTGCTCTGACATGAGGTGAGCGTTCCTTTTTCAAAGGGAAAGATGGGGAATCTGAATAGAACATGGCACTATACGCCAAGTGATCTGGATTCCTCTCCTGGCATTGTTACAGATTTGCAGTGCATCAGTGGGGCAGTTTGCTTAACATCTTTGGGCCTCAATTTCCCCATATGTAAAATGGGGCTAACATTACTTACCTACCTCACTGAGGGGTTGTGAGGCTTGAACCAATTATTTGCCAAGTATTTTGAGACACTGGGATTAAAAGCCAATGGAAATGGAAGCTATGATTGTTTCTATATAAAATAGCAGTGCTCAGAACGTGGCTGTGGGCTCTAACTGTGTTGTGTTAGTGATTTCACAGCTGTCCATCAGCTTCCAGCGGTCCCTGGGACCTCACATATCTGTTGATCATTATAAGGGTCTGAGAGTGTGGGGTAGTTGTGAGGGACCCCAACTAATCTACATGGGCTTGTTGGGGTTCCAACGAGTCCACTAAGGCTTGCTGGGGATGGAGGGGATCCAATGAAGGGGCCAGATGGTCAGCTGGTATGAATTGGCATAAGTCCAGTGGAACGACATTGACAGGCGCCAGCTGAGGATCTGGCTTGTATTTCTGCAGGAGGTGAAATTTCAAACTCTCAAACTCTCCCCGCTCGCTCCATATGGATTTCTCCAGGCAACTACAGCATAGTCCGGGTTCATCTGTCTTGCCAGAAGTATAATCTTCCTGGAGGCAACCTGTATCTCTTGGTCTATAATCAGAAGATGTCCCCCCATCTAAAGTCTGAGGGGATCTATTCCTCTTCCTTTCTCCCTCGCTAATCGCATGTCTAGTTCCTGAAGCTGCTTGAGGAAGCCAGAGTTGGGACAGACCCCTCGATGTTTACACACAGCCTGAATTGCATCAACAAGGGTCTTGTTTTCACAGATCATTAAGAAAGCAAGTACAAGCGTTGCTGATCGGCTGATCCCCATTGCACAGTGAACTAATACTCTGCCTGAAAATAAAAGAGAGAGAGCAGGTGTCACTATTTTACACCGTATCTGCTGATGGAGTTCATCCAGCCTGAGCTTGGCCGGGCTACTGCTGCAGACAGGAGCATCTAGACTTTCATGATCAGACCAGGCATGGTACATCATCTGTGAGGGAATGTAGTCTGATGGTTGAGCACAGACAAACTCAGGGTATGTCTACATTGCATCTGAGAGCAAACCTCCCAGCCCGGGTTCCCAGACTCATGCTAGTGCGCTCAAAATACCTGAGTAGATGGCACTTTGACATTGAGGCTCGGGCTCTGAATGTCACCCCCAGCCGCTAAGGCTTCAGAGCCTGAGTTTCAACCTGAGCCACAACATCTACATGGTTATTTTTAGCAGGCTAGCACGAGCCCTGCTAGTGCAAGTCTGTGGTCCCAGGTGCAGTGTAGACATGTCCTGTGAGGTTCTATTTTGTGCCATTGGTTTATTTTGGCAAGTCATTCATCGCTCCAGATGGACCTGCAGATAGGTGAGTAAGGAGGTGTAAGGACCTGTGCCTGACCCCGCATTGTCAGACCCTACTCACCCTCCTGTGCAAGTGGGTACAGAGTGATGGTGGATCCTCCCCCAATGAACCAGCCAGTGGAGCTAATCTAACATGAAAGGGGAAGGGACGCATGCCAGAAGAAGGGCTGGAACAGCTTACTTCTATCATGAAACAAGGAGGGAGTAGGGACTGATCTGTGCCTGAGTTACCATTTGGTCCCTGCTCTCACGACGAACTGCAAGGTACCAATCCAGCCCTTCGTCCCTCTGTGTTTGGGTTCCCTCATCCATAGCAGTGGGAACGATACTTATCCTTCTGCAAAGCTCTTTGGCTCACAGTTCTGCCTGTAAAATGTGGGCAGAGAGCCTTTCCATGAAAGCGGGTATAGAAAGGTGCAGTATTATCTAGTAGAGCTGGCTGAAAAACTCTGAATTTCAAAATTTCCAACAAAAAAGTGAACAAATTTTGCAAAATTTCCCCATTGTTCTACCTCCTCTATTTATCTGCCTGCAACACAAAGGGGAAGACTTTTCAGAGGTGCTGACATCTCTTCAAGCTGAGAGTGAAAATTAAGTCCTAATTGGCATTTTTCTTTGAGGAAAGTAGCCTAACATTTGAATAGGCTGTCTGCACTCATTTGAATATGATTCTCTTTGCTTTTTCCTTTTACAACAAGGGCTTAGCAATTGCTGCTATCCCTATGACATCCACTTTGTTCTTTACTAGCAGGTAACTTTAAAAATGGATAATTGACTATCTTGAGTATGCCACTGATTTCAGTAATGTGCAAACTATGGGAAGAGCAGTATAGCAAATCCTGCAGTGTGTCCTCTCTGGAGAGACCCTCTCTAGGTACGATTGGGTAGTTCACTTTCCACAGCTGTTCTGTACTTGAGTTCTCTTCTCCTCCATTCAAACTAGTGGGAGTACCACTCAGCACTCACCACTATTCAGGATCCAGCCCAAATAGGGAATGTGAGTTTTATAGTTTTCAAAGGCCACTAATCCATCAAATTTCCTGCTTACCAAATGCTATTCATCCAGCTCAGCTAGATACTATTAGAATACATTACAACTTATGTCCAGAAGAACGTAAGAACAACTGATCCCAATGGGGCAGAAAATATCCCATTTTGTTGTCCCTTGGAGGCAGAATACAACTATTGTGGTTATTGTAAGCCTTTAAAATGCAGGGGTGTTTGATGATGTGGACATTGTAGAGCCTACAGCTTGTCAGGGTTTGTCCTTGGTTTGTTCATTCTAACAGCATGTTAGCTTCTCTATTATCAGGGATCAGGAAAAAAGGACTTGTCTACACTTGAAATGCGATAGCTGCGCCACTGAAGTGCTTCAGAGTAGACGCTACCTGTGCCGACGGGAGGCGTTTTCCCGTTGGCATAGGTAATTCACCTCCCAGAGAGGTACTAGCTAGGTTGACCTGGCACTGTCTACGCTGAAGGTTAGGTTGGCTTAGTTACAATGCTCGGGTGTGGATTTGTCACGTATCCAAGTGACCTATTTAAGTCAACTTAATTTTCTAGTGGAGAGCAGGCCAAAGATACCCCTGTGTGGATGATGTCAATCTGTCCAGCCAAAGAAACTTGTTTGCTGTTCCTGTCTCCCTGGCTGTTAATACCTTGTACTCTGTGCATTGGTTTTCATCTCATATTTCATTGCTTTTGTGACACTGCTTTTATTTAAGGAGTTTATAGCAACAGTTGCAATTTTGACTCATGACGATCTCATAGTCACATGCTCAGAGAATGAGCGAGCATGTGGTTTAAAACCTCTTCTTGTCAGCAGGGTCAGAAAAGGTTTAATTCCACAATGGCCTGTATCTGATGAGACAGTCACCTTTCACTATCCTGGCATAAGAAACCTGAGCCCTGCCCCTAAATATAGACATGTCTTCAATAGAAAGCAAAGGACAAATATAGACTACAAGGAAGTAGTACAAACTCTCCTCTGTCGAGAGCAGATATTGACCAGGCTTTAAAACTTTTTTAAAATCTCTTATTATTGATCTTGCAATTAAAAAAAATCAGCTGCTGCTTGTGTTATCATTTTTCCTTTTCATATACAGATTTCAGAAATTATTGTGAGACAAATAAGGATCCCCTTTCTCATGTTGAATTGTATTTTACACCATGAGTAGTTCCATTGAAGTCAATGGGAGTATATTTGCAAAATAGGCCAATATGTGCTGTGAGTATGGGAAATGGCCTTTAAAAGATAATTCCTTGCACTTCAGAGTGCTTCATTTTCAAAGTTCTATGCAACCGTTAATCCTCACAATACCCCGGTAAGTAGATAGGTTTCGCATTGCTCTCCTCGTTTTACAGAGGAGACAGTTGAGACCCAGATAAGTTTGGACTGGGATTTTCAAAGGGGACTAAAGGAGTTAAGCACACAACTCCTGTTAAAATTAAATAGAATCAGGTGCCTATCTCCCATTGGTTTCTTTAAAATCCAAGCCTAAATTGCTTGCACAAGGTCAAACATCAATTAGTGGCACTGGGAGACTCCAGAAGTTCTTACATACCCCAGCCCCAAATGGTGGAAATCTTGGAAGAAAGGATGTTCTTGGAAGAAGCCAGGGACACTTTCTTTTATGTGTCTGAAAAACACTGTACATATTTATGAAGCTCTAGAAATAATAATATTAAAAATGTCCAGGGTTTGAGCTACATCCAGAAAAGAAGGTCCTACTGATATGGATCTGACCCAGCACTAGATCCATAGACTAGATCGGATCTGAATCCAAACTGTCCCTGAAATTCAGCATGGTTAAAATAGAAGACTGTTCTGAGTACTTGGTTCAGGTCAGACTTGTCAGGCAGAACTCCATTTGTTGGCTTTGGGCTTGTGTACATGGCAAATTAGTGAGCGGCAAGCCAAGCGTGTAAATCTACAGCGCACTAGCTTGCTGCGTTGTGTGGATTCTGCCACCATGCACTGAAAGTGCCATAATGTGCTTTGACTTTGACTAAAATTTCCTGTATGGAACTTTTTGTGCATGATAGCAGGGTCCACATGGCGAATTAGCTTGCGGCGGTTGTAGATTCACCCCCTCGCTTGCCACGCACTAGCTTGCTGTACAGACAAGCCCTTGGCGTGTGAGACTGCAATCAGCAAAGCAACTATGGGTTTTTTTTAAATGTTGGGTTCCATATTTATTCTCACTCAATGACTCTTCCATCTCAAGTATGCCCAGTCTCCATAGGTGCTGGAACTAGGGATGTTTCCGAACCCCCTGGCTTGAAGTGGTTTCCATTATATACAAGGTTTACAGTTTGGTTCAATGGCTCTCAGCCCCCCCACTATACAAATTGTTCCAGCACCCCTGTCGGTCTCCACATTTAATCTGGGATCTGGAGACCAAGCTGTGGTTTTTTTCCTCCTCATGCACCCCCAAAGATTCCACCATTGGAAATTACCCGACCCTTTTTTTGTTAGGGATGCAGGATAAAGCCAGAGCTCCCTCTCCCCATACCTGCCTCTCCTCTGCAGGGCTGGGAGCAGCAGACCTTTGATTTTATCAGTGAGTGAGTAGATATGTCTCAAATACAAAGAGAAGATGGAGGCAGTAAGAAGGTGCTGCTTTTTCATATTTGCTTCTCTGACTATATCTTCACTTTAAATGAGTCCTTTTCATATCAGCTATTAGTTTCTGAAGATCTCCCACCAAGACACTAGACCAGCCTATGATTGGCTTTAGAGCTAATCTGCCTAGCTTTCTAAAGCACTTATCACCATGGCATGTAGATTAAGATAATTTACCTCCTTTATATTTTCAGTCTTTATTCCTGGCTGTTGTCCTTTGTTGCACAGAGATTTGGATGAATTCTGCGTGCTGACAATAAAGTGACTGTTTGATGCAGATAAATCATTCACGTGAAATGATTTCATTAGTGTGAAATTGCTCTAATGAAAGAGGATTTTAATTTACTATGTGATTGTTTTGCAGCAAACAAATGAATGTTAAACTTGAGTAAGGAAAAAAAAGCCATGTTGCTATTTAGCTCTTCTTACAGGCTGTGATCCTTGTCTGATAGCAGTTGATATAAATGGGGCAAGTGCAATCTGAACTCACTGTGATGTATTGCACTTGTTTTACTGAATAGATCCTGAAATGGGTATGTTCTGGATGGCAGACCTGAGTGCTCTTGATGGCAGAATATTACCTCTAGCAGGGAAGCAGCTAGCAAAGACACCTTGGCGTCTGGTATCCATGCTCCAGGTCCTCATTCCCAGAGTAGAGTCAGCAGAAAGCCAGACATGCCATGGATGGACAAAGATCTGTCATCTGGCTGGGATTTGCATAGAACAATAACACTTTCTTTCTAACAACGGAATATAGCTATTATCTCAGATTCATTCCTGATGTAACTCCGCTGACTTCACAGGGTTTCCACCAGGGATGAATTTTGCAAATTCAACTTTGTTGGCCAAATTCAAGTTGGAAAATTGAATGTTGTTTAACAAATTAGACATTACAGCACATAAGATCTGATTGTCCTTTTTGTTACCCATCATTAACTGAGCTAAATGCCTTGAACTAGCCTGTGCTTCCTCATAGGACTGAGTTAATTTGGGTTAAAACTGTGAACCAGCTCTTCAGCCAGTGTAAATGGGCCTCGCCCCATTGACTTCAGTGGAATAACACCAATGTACAACAGCTGAGGATCTGGCCTATTCTATGCATCTGTGAATCTTCTAGCTTACCCTTGTTTTTCTCATCACTTGTTTCATTTTACCCACTACCATAAAGCCATGGGCAGAACCAATTGTGTCTTTACTATCAGCTGAACAATAGCAAAGGCCTACTTCCAATGTAGAGCTAATCTACACGGCACAGCAATGCTCACTAGAGGGATGTGATTTCTATATTAATGCACCCAAGAGAACTTTTGGTTCATGCCAGCAGGGTGTACACAGGACAGTTAGTATGCAACACATTGATGCGCTTTAGAAATCACCCCCTCTAGCACACTTTGCTGCACTGTGTAGACAAGCCCTTATCCTATATAGTACCTTTTATCTGAGGGTTTGAAAGTGCTCACAGATGTGGCCAAGAATTGTGATCAGGTGGGGAAAGTGGGAGGTTAAGTGACATGCCTAATGAGCCTGCCACAGATTCAAGGAGGAAAATCCTTGTTAAGTCGCTAGGCCACTCTGCCTCCCTTAAGGGGAGACCAACTTTTGTATTTGCATGAGCACAATGTTAGAAGAACGGTCTTTTCTGAACACCCGTAATTTCAGTGAGTTAATTGATGGTTTTCATCTGCTTGTTTAAAAGATGTGCACAGATCAATAAAAAGAAAATCCTGTATTTGCAAACCTTTCTCTCCACATGCAGTTAGTCTAATAATTTTCCATGGACTTCTCTGATCTATGTCCACAGATTATTTTTCTCCTTCTGCAGACTTTATCAAAAACTGCAGATTTGCATTCGCATTTAGTTATAGTCTGAAAAAATGCAAATTGTATGCATTCCCATGCAAAGGAGCGAAATTGATATTCATGGTGTCGTTCTCTCCCCTAGCGCCTTCTCCTATCTGAAGCAAATAAGTTCAGTAAAGGATCAGCCAGAAACATTTCTGGCTGCATGGATTAGCTTGCTTGGAGGAGACTCATCTCACTTGCTGACCCATGAATGGGGATTCTTAAACTACTGTGGTAGTTACATTGTCAATTGAAACCAATGGTTGTACTGACTGTGTGCCATAGGGCCATGCAGGTATGGAGTGGCTGGTTTTCAAGCAGGGCACAAGCCAAAGAAGCTGGAATGGTGGCACCTCATTAAATAGTGTTCTCATGGCCTGGCTACAGCAGCAACCTCTGGACACCTGCTCTCTATCACAGTCAAGATTTAAGAGGTTGCACATTGAGGGTGATGGGGGCTCCGTTACTTACCAATACTCCAGAATAGTATTGGTGGAAAGGAGGTCAAGGGTGTCCAATAACTAAGACAACAGTTCCCCTTTAAGGATACAATAGAGCTCCCACTGAAATCAAACAAAACCAACCCTATCCCGCTGGGAATGTCTCCTGCTCAGTAACACTAGCATAAATCTGGAGTAACTCTGATTTCAGTGACATTACTCTGGATTTACAGTGGTGTAACAGAACAGAATCTGGCCTCAAGTGTAATTCTAAAGATAAAATATTTGATTCACAGCTTAAAAAAACCAGTATGTGTGTGTGTGCGTCATATATACTTAAATGTGACTCAGTGTCCTCCTGGATGAACAAGTTAATAAAAATACCTTCTAAAAAGCTGTGTGGAACTAACTAGTCATAATTAAGTGGCAGTTCTACCAAACAGTTTCTCCATCAAACAAAAATACCATGGTATATCCTGACTTTCAAATGAATGGCCCTCGTGTTACCTGGTACATCTATGTTGCTGTGTATCACTACTTTTAAATAAATGTGGCTATTTGGATAACACACCCGTCCCTCCTTTTTTTTCCTGTGCAGGCCCTGGATATTGAGCTGCTGAGTTAATGTAGCTCAGGGAATTGTGCTTCCAGAACATCTTGTTCGTATACGTATCAAACTCTGTCACCCCTTTTAAAAAAAACTTAAAATGATGACCGTCAGCAGCAGCTGGATTGTTGGGTTTTTTTTTTAATTTTAGTCTTCTCTCCATTCCCAGCACTCCTGCTGGCATGTGGTCTCGGGGAGTTCAGTAAAGTAATATCTATAGCCGTAACAGTAGGACTAAATATCAATTCTAGCTACGATTAGTTCAGCTGTGATTACCTTATACCCAAACTGGAGTTCCATGGGGCAGCAATATAGTCTATTTTCTTAACCGTTCCACTTTCAGTATTCTGGCATGTACCCAGAAAGGCTTTGTGGGCAAAGTTGTACTAACATCATCCGGGGGAAAGGGAGCCACTAAGTCAACTTGGTTCTCATGTTTTATTCCTTTGTACATTCTCTACGCTAGAATTTACAATGGATTTACAACGGATTCTACCTTTCTTCAGAGGGCTGACTTAATTCGTAAATAGCACACACTGTAGTAGAAGGGGGTCCAGATCCAAACTCCCTGTACTATGGTGGTGGTTTTGAATGCCAAACATAGACCTCTGTTTTTCAAAGCCCAAGTAAATCTTTATGATGGGCCAGATCAAGTCTTCCAAATAGCCTCTGAACTTCTGGGTGTTCACAATCCAGGTCCAAATTTTGCCGCTTAGGACTAACCCTAGAGTGTAGTAGCTATGGACCTTTGTGTCAGATACATCCTACCTTAGTAATTAGTGTTTAGGATCAATGTTGCTGTAAAAACTTGCAACTGTTGAAACAGAACAGGCCCTTAGGTGCATAATTACCATTTGTGCAAGTCTGTAATCACTTAACTTTGTGGTGCTATGGAAAACCCTCCCAATAAAGATTTGCACTTAACTATCTGGATTCACCACAGGGTCTATTCCTCCTGAGCACAGAGAGAGCCCACTCACAGAGATTGTCCTGGCAGAAAGCAGATGCAACCTGCTCTCCCCTAGGGGGCCCAAAGGGGGCGACACAGCTCAAGAAGTGACAACACCTTTCCCCCTCATTTGCCATCATGCTAACTACTTTGAACACTGAGTGTACAACTGCAGACCTCATGTGTTTGAAAAATCTGGCCCTTAATTCCTCTGTGCCGTATAATATTTCAGACCACTGGCTTCCTGGCATTGAAATGGACTGTGGGTTTGAAAGCAAGTCTTCTCTCTCTCTTTCCTCATGAGAGGTTTATGAGTTTTTCTTTCTGGTGCATAAGGGCTGGAGATGTTTATTCCCACCCATAGTGCCACATCTTTTAAATTTGCCTCTATTTTTTCCAATGGCCAGATGTAAAGAAGCTGTGATCTGTAACCTGCAGAAAGTGCACTCGCCTAGGGGTGTGTGATTGTGGTTTAAAGATATGCTAGTCTAATGGCTCTGCATGCTATATACTACACCCAGTGACAGACCACTCTATAGGTGCTGGGAGCCATTATGAGTGCTGGTGAGCACTGAATCGTCACATGAATTGGCAGAGATGTTACTGTAATTGTGAGATCTGTGAAGATGGCTCTTAAAGATGCCCTTCTTCCTGTGTTGTGGTCTGGCGGTAACTGTGTGCAGCTTACTTTCCTCCAGCACACAGCCTGGCTGCTCCAGCTGAGTTCTGAGCATAGTGGGAGATATAGAAGTAGATTTCAGTTGTAGCAAGGCTTTGTGTCTCCTTCTCTTGGCAGGGCTAAGATTTGAGTGAAAAACTATTCACCTTCCCTTTATGGCTAATGGGCTAACTGGCTTACCAGACTAGCTGTGGGATTATGGGTAGTGGCTGTGTGACCAGGTATTTCAATTCCCACCCATCTCTACTTGGAATCTGCTTGTGCTGAATGCTAGCTGATGACTTGCTCTGCTTGTTTTTATGCTGAAGCCACGTAACGTGCATAGCCAGTGTTGTTACCTCTTGGAGAATTCAGCGCTGCTCTTATATATCTGGCAGTTTGATAGAAGTAAATGCTGAGATCAAAATTTGGATCATCATCAGCTTCTATTCCATAATAATCTACAGGCAGGTCTCTGTAGAATTTAGCTCCAGTGTCAATGTGAAATCTGCCAGCAGCAGCATTCACAATGTGGGTGATACCCATTCGGCGCAGCTGCTCTTTGTCCCGAGCTGTATATCTGAAAGAAAGAACACCTTGGGTATGCAGGGGGTTGTGCAAGGATTTCTCTGCCCACTGCCCCACAAACCTCTGGGCCAAACTATAATGGAATTGTGCTGCTATCGGTTACAGACGCTAGGTGCTTTGAAATACTAGCAAACTGGTGTGGCTCAATTTTTCCCCATCAATATTTTTTTTTCAGCACAAACTGGCTCTTGTGAATTTTTCATTTCCATCATGTTTCTTTCAGGTTTTCATTGGAAAAAACAATTTTTTTCAAAGCAAACTTTAAAAAAGTATCGTTATTATTTAAGCACTGGTAGCATGCTTAGCTGCTGTACTGATGCAGTCCTGATGCAGTGCTTCTGTACGACCACAGAGGAGATGTGGTCCATGCTCACTTTAGGCCTTAGGATTAGAGGAGGCATAAAGATGGTGTAAAGCTGCCTTCTCCTCCCCTGCCCTAGGCATAGTTCAACCAGACCCAAGGATTGGGCCCCCATTAGCTGATGATTCCCAAACCTTCCATTCTCAAGTGATTTCATTTGACAGAGCCCCCATTTATCTCCTAGTTCTTGTCTCATTTTGAGGTCAGGTTCTTTAGGAAGATCTCACTTACAAGTCTCCCACGTAGAGGTTTGGCCAGACTTCATTCACGTGGCCAGTGGAAGGTTTATGTGTCCACAGCAGGCGTTGAAGCTCTGTCAGAGGTGGCGTTTGGTAACTGCTCTGGCTTCTGGGGGTCAGGCTCAAAGCGCTTCGTATCCTGGGGCGCAGTAAGTCGTCTTTGCATAACGAATTGAAAGCCATTCTGAAATACAGAATCGAGAAGACACACCCCCCCCCGTTTATATAGTTTCATTCTCCCCCCCACTCAAAAACTCACCTACAATTACAATAACAACTTACAAGATCCCTGCCCCACAGAGCTTACTATCTATTTGTTCTGTGTTTTGTGTCCTGATCCATGACAAGGGCTCCTAGCTATTACTGCAATATAAATAGTAGTAGTAATAATAATATAAGCTGTAAGGGCCGTATTGCGATAGCACTGAACAGTTCAGTTCCAGTGGTCATACTCAGTGTCCTGACGACAAACTGCCATAGTAGGAAGGAATAGTATAAGCAGGACAGAACAATTCTGACTAATGAACAACTTCACAGACATGTAGATGTTAGCGTTTTGGAGAGCATTAATTTTATTTCACTTACTTTCCTCCTTCATTCCTTTTCTCTCTCCTCTCTAAACTTCTAGTCTTGAAATAAATGTTGGAATTGCAGATAGAAAACAAAACTGACCATAGATATGGAGCTTTTACAAAATTGCCCATCTCTGCTTACTTTAGGAAAGAGAAGGAACACAGGAATTTGCATATAAGAACAGACATGCTCCACCTATTCTGATATCCTCAGTTTGACATTGATGAGTCCCAGTATCAGCTACTTCAGAGGTACTTCCACCTCCAGTGCATAATGAATCTAATTGTGTCAATTCATGCCCTAACTCCAGCTGGTGATCTCAAACACCTACATGACTTGCCTGATGTCACAAAGGAAATCTGCGGCAGATTTTCTGTGTCTTAACCACCAAACCATCTGTCATTCCATTAAAAAATAGCAGCTCCCTCAGTCCCTCCCATCTCATAATAGTTGCAGCTAACCTTCCCTTCCTTTGACATATCCCATCCCTTGCAGCGTGGCTGTGACCACTCTAGTGTAGCTGATGACCTTATAAGCTTCCTTCAGCTGTTTTGGCCTCTGTTTATTTACTGCTTCCTGTCATCCCCTCCGCTTTCTTTCTCTACTGCATAAAATTCTCGGTTGACTTTAATTAATATTGCTGAGTCTTTGAGAGCCAAAGAAACCTATCAACCTTGCCTCTCTGAGCCATACAGTAGTAATGAATTATAGGCTGTCTTGTGAGCATTCCGGGTAGCTGTGTGTAGATTGTGTTGCTGAATGAGATCTGGGAAACAGGGTGGCTTAAAATTTATCATACTGCCCCTCCAGGAATTGGACTGTTAAATTATATTAGGAGAGGGCAGTTTATCAAAATACAAATAGAGAGAGTATTTTCTTGGATAACAGTGCAGAGACACCTATATCACAAACACAGTTAGAATTTACTGAAAGCCTCAGCAGAGAGACCAAGGATTGAATGGGCCATGGAGACGTTTCTGCCCCTGGGCCTCGTCTACACTAGCTTTTCTGCACTGTTGGTCAACCAGTGGTGTACTTTCCAGAGTTGCCAGTGGTGTAAGCACTAAAACAGAGCATGCATGAGCTTTTATTTATCACCCTGTTGTCAAACTGTGTTCAGAGTGTGACCTGATGGTGAAAACACCTGCACTCCTACATTCCCTAGCAGTTCCACCAATGCTATGACTGATGGAGCTGCATCAGTGGTAGACAAATGTTGGGATTAGCGCTGATGTAGATGTATCCCTAGAGGTGGTCGTTCCAGGAGAGCAGAGGCATGTTGACCAGGTAGTACAGGGAAGCTTGTGCTGTACGTGCCCTATGGATAAAGAGAAGATATACTGAAAGTTTTGGAGACTGCAACTAAAATGGGCGAATCCCTCCAAAGTAAGTAATCCTCAAGTAAGCTCCAGCTGTAGTCTCACCCATTTTGTATTCCAGCAAAGGAGTTTACAAGCAGGGATGTTCACTGAAAAAGTAAGCATGACAGTAAATTCATGGAAATCAAACCTTGAATTCTCACACACAAATATTCCCACTACAGCCTGATTCTAAGACTCACATTTATCCAGCTAGGGAATAGAATCGTGTCATGTGACTTCTGTGTCCAATCAAAGCTAGCTATCATTGCTCAAATTTCAAAAACAGAATACTCGTAGCAAGTTGATCACAAATGATCTATAGATAGAAAATTCCTTGTAGAAATCATTTAAATAATGAACCCATTCAAGAAAATAAGTAGCTTCCAACAGAAAATTTACAAACAGAAAAAGAAAAATTTACTGAATAAACTATTCACTCCAAACTATTTTAGCTCTAGCTTTGTCTACCACTTTTTCACACACATGCAAATTAATTTTGTACCAATTTATTTAAAAGCACACTTTAAAAAAGTGACGAAATGCATAAAGTTATTTTGTCTAGCTGAAATAAGTTAGGCATGTTGCTTAAAATGAGGCTGTACATTAAAAACATTAAGCACACATGGAATGTACATAATGTGGTTATCCAAAGCTATTGTAAAATATTTATGAATATATATTTAATGACTAGCTTGTTTAACTTATCTTACATTGCTTATTTAAATCTTTTTACTCTATTTCTGTAGTGGGCTTGGTTTTATGGCTTACTTTACATGTATATTGTCTTAAAATGCCCATCCAGTTGGGATGCTCTTAATGATATTCATATGAGACATTTCTGGTCTTTGCCTTATTGAAACTGTATCACAGTAATTATTCAACCATGTAAGAGAAATTTTAGCACTATATTTAAATTAATTTTGAGTCACTTTATACTAGAGCTAGTAATTTTAGGTGAACTGTGTAATGTAATTTAATTAAATATATATATATATATGTTAACTGGAGAATTGCAATCAGGCAAGCCTTTAATAGATCTGAAGGCTAGAAAGAAACATTATGATCATCTAGTCTGACCCCCTGCAGAACACAGGCCAGAGTGTCATCAGTGATTCCAGCACCTAGCCCAACAACTCCTGGAGAATTATTGATGTTATTTAGTATTGGTATTATGGTAGTGCCTAAAGGCCAACCAGTTCAGGGGCCCATTGTGCTAGATACTGTACAAATATGTAGTAAACAACAATCCCTGCCCCCAAATTGCTTACAGACAAACAAGGGAGCCTGGATGAAGGGGAGGAGGAAGACTGGGTAACAAAAGTAATATGCATAGGAAGACAGTTGATTTGTCTCATGGCAGCCTTGAAGTCCTTTCATATGTTGTCCTTTACTCTCCTCATGGGAATGCCGAGGTAGAGTCTCTCTCTTCATCACCATTTGGGGGGTGGGAAGGCCTTTTCTCTCTTCCTACCCAGACAAGCAACAAAGAATGCCATTGTCATTAATTCCGGCCTGCTCTACACTACTGAATTAGGTTGACGCAACGCAGCTTACGTTGACCTAACTATGTAAGTGTCCACACTAAAATTTTGCTCCTGTCGACATAACTGTCTTGCTACACCAACTTAATAACTCCACTCCAGGAGAGGCGTAGAGTCCATGCTGATGTGGTTGGGTTGACACAGTGTCAGTGTAGACACTGTGTTGCTTCCAACGACTGTTACTGGCTTTCAGAAGCTGTTCTACAATGCCCCACACTGGGCTTAAATTGCAGCAAAGGAGGTTTAGGTTGGATATTAGGAAAAACTTCCTAACTGTCAGGGTGATTAAGCACTGGAATAAATTGCCTAGGGAGGTTGTGGAATCTCCATCATTGGAGATTTTTAAGAGCAGGTTAGACAAACACCTGTCAGGGATGGTCTAGATAATACTTAGTCCTGCTATGAGTGCAGGGGACTGGACTAGATGACCTCTCAATGATTCAATGATAGTCCAGTTACTACAAGTGCTCCTGGTGAGGACAGGCACTGCCGACACAAGGCAAAAGTGATTTAATTACTGCGGCGGCTGTATCCTGACATAACTTGAGTTGACATAATTTTGTAGTGTAGACATACCCTCAGGGGTGCCCTGAAGCATGGTGGTGTAACTAGCACGGTTTCATGCCACAATATGGAGAGGACCTTTGAGGTAAGGTCCCCTAACATAAATCCCAGTCCTTTGAAACTCCATATTACTTTCCTCCCAATTTATCTGTAGACATACTTGGCTAAATAGGAAGGAAGGAAATAATAGGGCAGCGTGACTAGTGACTAAGTGACACTGTTCCTTTTGAGTCAGTACTGAACCAAACTGCCGCACCATATTAGCAGATGACACAGTGCTGCACAAAATAGTGTTGGCACTTCAGTAGGTGGTATTGTGTTCTTTGCATGGATATGAAGCCAGTGCCCTAGCACAGCGTCATCTCATCACTTCACTATACTTTTTTTTTTCTGGTGGGATAGAGGAGAATTTTAGGAAAATTTCATTACATCATTATTCTTGCATCAATAATCTGTTAAGTGTTTTAATCCCATCAGTAATTATCAGTCTGTGCATTTGTAGAATACCATCTTTTCCCCAACTTAATAAACACGCCTTTAATGTTCACCCTGCAGAGACATTACTCATGATTTGTTTTTGACTGGCTGGGACATGTTGTAACTCTATCATTTTAGTTAAAAAGTCAACCTGAATGCACTTCAATTGGATTATGTTTGACAGATGATTGTAAAAGACCAGACTGAAGCTCTGGGTTTGGCCAAGGTAGGGCATGTCAGGTCTGTGCCAGTTGTATCTTTAGAGAGACAAGGTGGGTGAGGTAATAGCTTTTATTGGACCAGGAGACAAGCTTTAGAGTTTATGCAAAGCTCTTCTTTAGGTCTTGGAAAGGTACTTAGTGTCACAGCTAAATACAAGGTGGAACAGATTGTTTAGCATAAGTAATTAGCATATGTTGCAAGAGACCATTCAAGGTGAAGTAGGTAGCCAATACCTCTGCAGTCATCAGGGCCGGCTCCAGTTTTTTTGCGCCCCCAAGCCAAAAAAAAAAAAGCTGCACCTTGTATTTCTCTGTGACACTCTGACTATCTTTCTCAAACCTGAAGAAGAGCTCTGGGTACCTTGAAAGCTTGTCTCTCTCATCAACAGAAATTGGTCCATAAAAGATATTACCTCACCCACCTTGTCTCTCTCATATCCTGGGACCAACACCGCCACAACACCACTGCTAACAGTTGTGCTTTAGAAAGTCACAAATGCTTTGCAGAAAACCTATCCATTGGAAAGATTACTCCATGATAACATATGTTTGAGGAAAGGTTTTGTACTTTATCTGTTAGGTCTCTACACAAATGGCAAATATTATAGTCATCATTCTTCCTTCTTGCCGTTTAACCCGATAGTCTCACTGGAGCCATAATTTATCGATTGCTGGGAGTGCTGTGGGAAATAGTATGAATCAACTACAGTGATGATTGAGGTAGGACTGGCTGGGTTTGAAAGCTGAGACATTGGCTGTTTCTAGGGATGCACAAGGTATTTGAGCAGCCAACTGTCTGTAAGAAAATCTCTTCAGCAGCTGGAGGATGTAACCCGAATAGCATTTCCAAATTCAGTAGGGACAAGTTTAGCACCAGCTGTGCATTTTGTGTAAGGTGATGACCACATGCCCTAGTCTGACTTTGCAGAATCCATTTCAGTGGCCTGCTCTTCTCTATACAATGTGGTGTCAATGTCTGGAGGAATGTGAGCTAGATCACTCTTCACACAACATAGAGCTGCACGGATGAGAATAAAACATCTGCCTGTCTGCTCCTTGGATACTATGCTGGTAGCAAGTGGCCTCTCCCAATATAGGGCTAGATTGGGATGCCCTTACTCTACATAGAGTAAGGTCTACTCAGTGTAAGTCCCATAGAATGCAGTGGAAGTTTTCATGGAGTAAGGTGTACTATCCAAACATCAATAAGGGCATCACTATCTGGCCTGATTTTTAGAGGTGCTGAGCCTGCCCCAGCTCCCATGGATTTCAGCTGGAATTGTGGAGAGACAGCCCTTCTGTAAACCATGCCTTCGATAGGTCTCCCTGATCTCTCTCTTTTCCTCTCTCAGTGATTCTGTGGGCTACTCAGCTGGGATCATACCTGCTGATCTTGAATGCTGCAGGAAGTAAAACAGCACATGGTCCCTCCAGATGGGTCTATATTGCTCTATAGAGTATCAGATGTTCTTGTGACATCAGCTACTTGCTGTATCTCTGTTGATGAGTATTGTGTGTGTGTGTGTGTGGTCACTGAAGGGGAGAGCATGGAGTGGATTCTCTCTATTGTGCAGTAATATTGTGGTTAATTGCAAAGTCTGGTTACAGCTGCTGATGTTGCTGTTCTTTAAAGTGGAAAATGGGCTCACCAAAGAAGTTACCTACACTGCATTGAAGGTCATGGTCAGGGGTTAAAGTTCAGGGGAACACAGCCCTTGCTCCCCTGCTAAAAGTACATGGGAGTTCCCCCTCTTCCTCTTGGCTTGGGAGACCATTTTTCCAACTGTAAGCAGGATCTGAATGAATTCTCCCCTGAGAGCTAGCTGGGAGTGGGAAAGACTTCAGGAGCAAACTGTATTTACATGAACACACCTACTCTGCTTAGGTATCCATCAGATAGAGCAGTGTGGTTCAAAATAATCAACTTTGGCTGGTGTTGGGTTACAAATCACTTGAGTACTGAATGCAGGGGTAGTAAAATGCTGTTACCAATGTTGTTGTCATTATTATATGAATAAAGGGGAGCAGAACTGTGCTTAACCTGTCCCAAATGAGGGGGTCATCCTCAGCTGAAAGGACCTGGTTAAGCCAGGGGCTTGAATGCCAGAGCCCTGTGAAACTAAGTGGGTGGGGACAGGTGTCCCAGCCAGGAGGTGTGGACTCTCTCTAAGGGTCCCTGGTCTGGTTTAACCTGTTCCTTCCCACTGTTCAAAGAAAGAGCTAAATAGGCTTCATTAGGAGCCTCTTTGTTATGTTAAAGTGCTCAAATGAGAGCTGAAATCACTTGAAATGGGGCAGTGTTTCTGCCCAGCCTGCAAAGAATTGAAAATTACTAAGAGACTGATGTGCAGAGGTTGCAACAGAAGGTGACTGACAGCTGGTGAACGAGTGGCTGGCAGGGCGGCAAGCAGAATGAGTGGCTGGTGGGGCGGCCAGGCAGCGAGGAAGCGCAAGCAAGGTGCCTTTGTCCCCAGGTGGGAGGTGAACTCACACAGATACACCTCTGAATCCTGAACATGAGGTGGAAGGCATTGCCCCATGCGCTCTGGGGTGAGTGTCCTGCTCACAGTTTTATGATTATGAATCCTGCTTCTGGCATCTGGTGACTTTCATTAAAAGTTTATTTTCTACACTCAGACTCTGTTCTTGGGAGTGGGGAAGTATTGCCTCTCAGAGGTGCCCAGGGGTAGTGTGTAATTGTCCTAGGTTACTGGGTGGGGGCTCGAGCTGGTTCTGTGTGGTATTGTTGAAAAGGAACCCCTAGATATTGAACCCGGCCCTGGTTGCTGCCAGCTCCACCTGGCAGAAGGGTTACACAACTATTGCGCCCCTTCCTTCTTGGTTGCCATGGTGAGCACTCAGTCTACTGGCAGGGTTACAAAATAGCTGTTAAAACATGGCTTTGTCAGGTAATGTAAGTTGGATTGCAATGATGTCTCCAAACTGTGAAGGTACACTCCATACACACACACCCCTCCCCAGTATCAGTATCATAGAGTCTGGCTATGGAATTCCTGTCCAGAAGAGGATGGGTGTCAGAGCCCTGAGAATGAGTGTGTATGTGTGCTGAGTGGGAAGATCTCACCACTTCCATGCTGGAAGAGGAAGATTTAAGGCCTGATCCGAAGCCAGCTCTGCCATTCCCCAGTAAGTAACCTGAGGGCACCTGTCTGAATGTAGCTGAAAGAGGATGTGAAAGACCAGAACAAAAGGAGCTGTAGCTTCTGTAAAGTATAGAAAGTGGCTGACCAAGAAAAGCAAGATACTGAAGTGGCTCTGCTTGGGCTTGTGTCCTGAGTGAGTTGGGTTAGAGGACACCAGACCCTCTCTGCTAAGACATTGAATTAAGATAATTTATATGGCTATGGTGAGGTTAACAGGATTTGCAGGACTGGGCCCTTACTCTTGTGAGCATTCCCACAGACTTGTCCAAAGCTGACTCATGAGCAAGGGTTTGCAGAATCAGGAGTCTAATCTGTTACTCAACTGTGGGAGGAAAATTTCCCTTTATTGTATGAGTAGGCATTTTGGGCCCAATATGGACCGCAACATATAGCTATGGGGAGCATGGCAGACAGTGAACACACAGAAATCAATTTTCTATGGCTTCTGCACCCCTGCTGCCTGGAAATATTTTGTTGCTGAATTGGGCCCTTTATTTACTAGTTACGAATTTTATGTGCCACTTTAATAGTGTGCATTGTAACTATTTAAAGACCTGCATTAAACAGGCCCAGACATTGTGTTAACAATCTGCACGTTACGATGTATTTTTTGTAACTGCTTGTTATAGCATCAGCTATTAAGAATTTATTACTAGTGCATTTTAGACCGTGCTTTACAGTAACTTTAATTACAGCCATCTAGCTATCATTAAATAAATATTCATCAAGAGCAGGAACCCCAGGGTAAAGTGACCCGAAAGGCTTTTACCTGCCAAGACCGGAGGTCAGGCCCTTAGGTGTCAATGATGCC